CTTTTCTTTCTTTTTTTTTTTTTTTTGAGACAGTCTCACTATATCATCCTCGGTAGAATGCTGTGGTGTCATAGCTCACAGCAACTTCAAACACTTAGACTTAAGCGATTCTCTTGCCTCAGTCTTTCAAGTAGCTGGGGCTACAGTGCCTGCCACAACGCCCAGCTATTTTTTTGTTGCAGTTGTCATTGTTGTTTTGCTGGCCTGGGGCCGGGATCAAACCCACCAGCCTGGGTGTATGTGGTTAGCACCATAACTACTGTGCTATGGGCACTGAGCTGAAAAAAAGAAGTCATCTTATCAAAAAGACACCTGTACTTAAATGTTTATTGCAGCACAATTCACAATTGCAAAGATATGGAATCAACCGAAGTGCCCATCAACTGAGTAGATAAAGAAAATGTGGTATGTACGCCATAGAGTACTACTTAACCATTAAAAAGGGTGAAATAATGTCATTTGCAGGTGAAACTGGAGACCGTCATCCTAAGTGAAGTATCTCAGGAATGGAAAAACAAAATCACATGCATTCTCCAAAAATGGAGTGCTAATCGCTGGGCACACATGGGCACAGAGAGATGTAAAGAACATTGGAAACCAAGAAGGAAGGACGGCTGGAGGGGGTGAGGGATAACAACTTACCTATCAGGTACAATGAACACTATTCTGATGACAGGCACAATAAAAGTCCTGACTTCAGTATTATACGATGTGTCCAGGTAATACACATTTGTACCCCCTTACTATTTTGAAAAAATAATAAAGAAAATGATTTTTTTTTAAAAAGAGAAAGAATGCAGACAAAACAGAGAGCAGAAGGATCAAATACAACATTTAAGAGAACCTCCCATGAGTGGAGGACATGTGTTTTTACACTGAAAAGACTAACCCAGAGCTGAGTACAGTGGATGAAAGGAACCACATCAAGGCTGTGGTTCTGAACACAAAGAGTAAACAGAAGAACCAATGAATTTTCAGAGAGAGAGAAAGAATAACATACAAACGAGAGAAGCTGGAATGGCAGCTAAAAGACCACGATGCAGCGATGCCTCCCAAACTCTGGCTGGCATGTTTCCAGACTGGAATTCTACTCCCAGCCAAAGTCCCAATCAAGGGTGAAAAAGAGATGTTCAGAAATGCAAGTTCTTAAAAAGCTTGCATCTAGTGTGCCTTTCTCTGGAAAGTAAACGAAAAATGAAGAAGCTATATGAACATGCAGGAACTGGGAATTCAATCCCAGAGCCAGGGGAGAGAGGGCCCAGGAAGGCAGTGTGTGCTGGCCCAGGGGCTGCCCAGATGGGCAGGACCAGGGGGAATTGGTATTGAGAGGAACTGGACACTTAGGGAGGAAAATTTGGGTGATTTAGGGGAAGATCAGCAGACAACTATGCAAATGGAAAAAGAAGGCGGGTATTAACTCCAAGGAAAATAGAAATAGAAAGGAACTGTGATCATTACATGCTTCAAGAGTCAGCTTTAGATTATGTTTGCATAGCCTTAAAAACATGAAGACTGATTTTAGAGGAAATGGGCTGGGGAAGGTGAATGAAAGAGAGGTAAATCCTTATATTCTAAAATGGAAATAAATGGATAATGCTTAAAATCAGAACTAATTAGCAATAGAAGAAGAAACCAGATGCCAAGTATCTACACTGTGAAACCTCATTCAGGGGACGCTCGAGCATGAGCAGAACTCAGCCCTGGTGACAGATATCAGGATAGTCCTTACTCTTGGGCACGGGTATTGAATGGGATGGATATGAGAGAATGTTCCAAGGAGGTCATTTCAAGAAAATGACCCTGACCTAGATCTGGGTATGATTACACAGCTCTCTCATTTATATACCTCACGTGCATATGTATTTTATACCAATAAAAAAAGGAATAGGAAGAAAGGCAGCAGAAGCATGTGCCTTACTAATACAGAGGAAACGAAATGAGTAGCTAAGGAAGTTGAAAGTGGCTGCCTCTGGTGAGAGGGGCAGGGAAAAATTGTTCTGTACTAAGCTTTGTAGAATTATTTGACTTTATTAAATTATGTGCATGTATAACTTTGATTTTTTAAAGGCTGAAAAAAATCAATTGAGCACACTTCATCCCCTGCCAGGCAAGGAGCAAACCAAATCTTTTCTGTTGATTAGAAAAAGATCAGGCAGGAGATGCCGTGAAGTTGTAGGCAAGGCTGGCTTGAAGGGCCCCTGTCCCTGAAGGCTCTGCCCCTGACTCCCCCTTGCACCTGTGGGGTGAGAAGGACTGGTACCACCTAGACACCAGCTCTGGGGCCAGGGGCCTAGAGGTCCACCAATGGGGGATGTTCTATGGAGGGCAAGAGGCACTGCCACGGGCCTTTGCTGCTCTGGTGGAACAGTGGCAGTGGCTCCAGGGAATTCCCCAGGCACCTGGCACACATTCCCAGTCTGCCTGGTGACCAGCCCCAGAGAGCAGGTGACAATCTGTGGGGGGTCAGACTCACAGAACTGACAGTGCACAGACAGGACAGGGCCTAAGTGATGGCCTTACCCCCATCCCCTGCCCGCACCTCCTCACCTCTCAGGTTTCGGATGAAGTCCTCTAGCATCATCTTCCGGTCAGGCTTGATGTTGGGGCTATACATGTCGGTGTTGAGGAGGATGATGGCGAAGGCGAGGATGAAGATGGTGTCAGGGTTGTGGAACTGCTGCACCACCTCGGGGTTGCACATGCAGTAGCGCTGGCTGTCACGGGGAAGCACAGAGTGGACACTGAGCCCTCCCCACCCCAGGCTTCAGCAGTGGGGGCTGCACAGGGGGTGTTAGGCCCAGGGAGATCACTGTCTTCCCTGTACCCTGGTCCTCTTCAACTAAAGGGACAGGCTGGTGTCACATCCCCAAACGCCCTGAAGTACCAGCTTCACACAGAGGCTTGATGAAGATTTGCTCACGGATGGACCAAGTGCATTGCTGCTTCCTGGAGGGCTGGGGCTGCTCCCGGCTGGGGGAGCTCCAGGGTGTCTGCCCCTTCACTTGCCTTCCCTCCTTTCTCCCCAGCCCACCCTCCTGCCACACCAGAAGGGGCTCTCAACTGACCCTCCAGCATCTCCCACCCCCAGGTACACAGCAGCTCTGCTTCCCCACCCAGGGAATCTGGAGGAGTCTGGTATAGAGCTGGGAGGGGCCCACCTGAAGGCCTCGATGAGCCGCTCCACCTTCTGGGCCTCCCCCTGCACACGGATGTGTGCCTGGAACTTGCGCAGGGCCTCGTCCAGCTCCATGCTGGAGAAGTCCATCTCGTCCACCACACAGCTGAGGGCAGGAGGGGGAGGGGGCGTGAAGATCAGCTGGCCCCCCCTACTCCCCTGCACCCACCCCACTGGCCCCTGCCACCAGCCAGGGAGGATGAGTGCGGGGCCTTCTAGGCTGCCTATCCTGGGGGCTCCTTACTGACCCAGGAGCACCACCTGCCCCCATCTCCTCTCATCCCACACAGTGTTCCTGGGAGACAGGTCCCTAACAGCCCAACCTGAGGCCCAGAGAGGTCAGCTGGCAGCCACGGCCACAGAGCTAGGAAGAGGCTGAACTCGAATTTTTCAGCCCCAAATCCCATGCTCTCTCCTCTCAAGCTCAGAGAATGTTAGAGTCAAACAAAGCCTTAAAAGTAAGTAAGACAAGAAATATATTTACTCTCCTGTTCTTTCATAGGCCTGCTAGGAGGCTGTATTTCTCCCCAGGTGAATTTTCTCTTCCCCCTTTGGGTCTCTAGGGGACTGAACTCTCCCTGTAGTCTCCTGTGGCTGTGGTGAGGACGCCAAGCCTCCGGCCCTGGCCTGCCTCTCTCTAGCTGCTCCTGCCCGAAGGGGAGGCTGTGGCAGGAAGGCCATGGCCTCTGAAGAGTAAGTCACAAACTTAGCCTAATGTGAGAGGACAGTGTGATAGGCAGGGCCAGGTCCTGGCTCTGGCTCCCCCACAGAACTGAGTGTAATTCCAGCTCACTGCCTCACTCTTTGAGCCCCAGTTTGCTCTTCTGAAAAGGCAGAAGGCTGGAGTCCCTGCTTCCCAAGGCCTTTCTACCTCTAAAATGCCACCTCCACCCTGGGGGTGCCTCTGAATGCCTTGCTTCAGTAAGTGGAGGAGGAGGGGTCACAGGCCCCCACCCAGCTAAGCCTAGACCCTCCTGCCATGGGTCTGGGGCCAGGGCCCAGCTGGCAGCCCCTCCTGCTCATGTGCCCTGAGCCCTGCTCTCCCTGCAGTGCCTTTGAGGTGGTGAGCATGTGTATGTGCCAGCAGCTCCCAGAGCTGGCGTCTCCTGTGTCCCATTCTGCCCTGACGCCCCACCCCATTCTCCTCTCAGCTGGCCCTTTCCAGCCCCCATGCTGCCCCCTGCAGGCCAGCAGCCTCTGTCTGCTCCCATCGTCCCTAGCAGACTCCGCAGCAGTGTCACATCCCTGAGCAATCAGCTGCCTGCCCTGCACAGAGCACGATTAGGGACCACCACTGTGAGCCCAGTGCACCGAGCACTCAGGAAACATTTGCGGAGTGGGCTGAGCTCTGAGCAGGACCTGTTTCCTCCATGACCCCACCTTCCACTGGGCCCAATGCCTGGAAGACTCAGAGACACCAGTTCTGCTGTCAGTTTGCAGGAGAAAGCAAGGGAGATGACACAGGAGTAGTGATCAGGGGACTCTAGAGAAGAGGGAAGGCTAAGAGGGACGAGGTGGCTGGGTAGCAGAGGCCTATGGGCCAGCAGGCAAGATGCTGCTGTGACTTCTTGGTGGGCCCTGTCACCTTTGCCCTGCACTGACAGAGATGAAGGGTAAGTTAGTGTAGACCTGGTGGGTGTCAGCCTGGAGCACCTCTTGCCCCAGGGTCCTTGCCCTTGTGGGGCTTAGGAGGGGGCAGTGGGCCCAGGCAGCCCAACCCTGGCCAAGAGAGGCCTGGATCCTTGCAGGATCCCAGAGTGGACCCTGGTCCCTTCAGTCTGGCATCAGCAGTTCCCCAGGACTCACCCCCATCTCTTGTCCCCCTGACCCTACACTGCCCCTGGTCTTTCCCTATGGGCCCTGAACCCTGAGGGGTTCCCACATCTGTGTCCTTCCCAAGGTCTCTCTCCCTGCACCTTCTGCCCCAGAGCTGTGGACTGGGGCTCGCCCTGCAGTAACGGGGGTGGGTGCTGAGTGGCCCAGAGCACTGTGGGGGCAGGCGATGGAAGGAGGTGACAAGAGCAGCTGGAGAGGGTGGGATTTGCTCGGCCAGGCGCGGTGACCTAGTTTCCAGCCTTTCACGCAGGTGACAGGCAGCCACTCACTCACTTACTCAGGACTGTGGCTAAAAGCCCCAGTAATGAGCCAAGACCCAGCAGCCAGGGGCCAGATCTGGGAGGAGCAGCCGTGTGGAGAGGCTGCCACGGAACTGGGCTGAATACATCAGTCAGGGCCCATGGGAGGACAGGGGAGGGGGGGTCTGGAGGGCCACCACCCAACATCTTCTGGTGTGTCCTGAGGACCCCACATTAGAATCAGAGGTGGCTTGTTAAATGTAGATCCATGGACCCCACCCCAGATCTAACAGATTAGGATAGAACATTTGGAGGCAAGGTCTCGGAACCAGCATTATTTTTTAAAAAACCTCTCAATAATTTGTTTATTTTGATTTTAAATTAAGCACTTGTCAACAACTACGGAAGTGGTAAGAATTGACTTACAGGTATACCTAAAAATACTGACCCAACTGCTAAATTGAATGGAATATTTCTTAGAGTATTTTGTCATTTACTCCAATTAAACTCAAGGTCCTTATACCTCACCTGTTCCTGAGCTATGGTGACTATAACTGGGGCATCCAAGGGATGAAACCAGCTAATCTCCACATCTACTTTTCCGAAAGCTTGGGCCTGGCAAAATGCATCTCATAATATAGAAAGCAGAATGCTCAACAGAGTTGAATCAATATAAAGAGCCCCCCAAAGGGAGGGATGGAACAAACATTTTAGCTTAGAAAATACTCCTGAGGATCTCTTCGTTCCTTCCTTCTCTCCTTCTCTCTCTCTCTCCCTGCCTTTTTCCTGGAATCAGCATTCTTTATAAACTCTCCAAGTGATTCTTAACATACAAAAACCAATGGCTGAGTTGGGGGCAAGGGTAGGAGGAGGCCTGGCCCATGGGAGGTTTTCAAAATGTGCACTCAGGAACTCACAGACCAACAGGCAGTAGCATTCGGGGGCACACATGTCCCCGCTGGCTATAAGCGGTGGTGGTGGTGAGGGAGGGGTGGAGGAACAGAGATGCCTCCCGTGTGACCCACCCTGTCTCCCATTTTCCTGCTTCATTCCCTGCAGTCGCCACCATGGGGCAGCAGTGACTGGTAAGCAGGTGCTGTCCTGGGGTTCTCAGATCCTGGGGGAACCCACAGCCCCAACCAGAAGGGAGGATCCACGCTGAGTAGGGGAAAGACACGACCCTCCTCCACAAGGCAGGCCTCCTCCTACTGCAGAGGTGGGGGCTGGACCAGGTGCCTTCTCAGGACCCCCCCATCTGGCATTCTACAACAAGGACCCAGAAGCAGACAGAGCCACTGTCACTCTCTACAGCATTGCAGGTGCTCCTGCTGGGCAGAGGACAAGTGACTGTGAGGGCACTTCTAGCTGGTTTGGGACACAGCTCCTGATGACTGGCAGCTTCTTCCCCACCCCTTCCCAGGTCATCACCATCTGCCTTCCTGGTAGGACCTGCATCCTCCTGGGGAAGGTGGCTGGGAGCAGGCTGTGCTCTCAGTCCTGTCACCCGGAAGCACCTGCAGTCCTCACCTCTCCAGCTAGATCCCTTCTCTCCCCAAGTGGCAGCTTCAGCCTGCACCTCACCCTCTTCAGGCTCCCCCTTCTCCCCGCTCCATCCCGCTGCTTCTCATACTTTGCTTTATCTACCTCCATCTACTTCAAATCTCCCCCTTTCCTTCCTTCCCTGCCACTCTGGAACTCTCACGGGGAGAAGAGTGCCCAAGAAGATCACCGAATCCTTCTTGCCGCTCAGATCCTGGATAGCCAACAACCATCTCCTTGCTGATTATCTTTAAGTGAACAACACTGCACGTTCCTGCTGTTCTTTTCTGGTACATAATCTTCCCATTTTACTGAAAACAAAACTAAGGCCACGAAAGGGCTTGCCCCCCTCCTACAACTAGGAAGAGCAGGCTTTGGCTTCCTGGGCTTGTGAGCTCTACCCCCATGGCAGAGTGGCTGGACCCTGCCCACCAAAACCCTGTGTGTACTCCTGTGGTGGCCGGGAGTGGGGGTGGGGTATGATAACCCCAGGGTAGCAGATCCTCACCTGAGTCTTTCCTGAGTATTGCTCTCAGTGCTTCACTCTGAGTGCAATAACTTTGTCTTCTCAAAGGCCTGAGCAGTATTAACCATTATCCCATAATTTCTATTCCATATGAGGAGACTGAAGCTCATAGGAGAGATGGCCCTGCAGGGGGACTGCACACATCTCTGTCCTTGTTGCATGCCCTGGTCCAGCCAGGTTGCACATGTGCTGCCCTCGCCAGCTCTCTGCTGCTCCAATGCACCTTCCCCTGCAGGCTGCTGCCTCACCTAGGTGGGTGATGGTGGTCTGTTAGGTGTCAAGAGAGAGCAATTGGATACAGTTGCAGAGTTATGACCATTGGTGAGGCTGTGGGGCACCAGTGGTGCTGGCCTGGGCACATAGAGCCCGCAGCCAGGCCATGTCCCTGACCTCTTGCCTACCCCTTTTCCAGGCTGTTTCTGATTTCCACAGTGGCTGGCTGGGTTTCCTTCTTTCTTTCAACAAACACGCACCTATGGCTCCTGTGTGCAGGCTGTGCTAGGGACATGGGGTAAGTGGCAAGTAACGCAAACACAGTCTCTGTCCTGGTGGGAGAGACAGGAATGAAACACAGGGTCAGAAATAATTCTTTAACCATAATTGGGACAAGTCCTACAGAGGGAAAGGACAGGGTTCCAAGAGGGACAAAGCTGAGACATTTTGCACTGCTGTGTCTGGGAAGGCCCCTTTGGGAACATGACATTTGAGCTGAGATTTGAGGATGAGTAGGAGTTGGCCGAGGGAAGGAGTGGGAAGAGCTTCTGGCAGGGTAGGGGGGCAATAGACACAAAGGCCCTTTGGCAAAGGACTTTCAAGGACCCGGAAAGTGCCCCCTGAGGCTGCAGTGCTGACAGTAATGGGGAGAACAGCCACTGTGGGGCTGGACAGGGGGGCAGGGACTTAGTGTGTCAGCTTTGTGGGTCACAAGAATTTTGGAGTTGATTCTGAAG